GTGTGTGCGTGTGTGTGTGTGTGTGTGTGTGTGTGTGTGTGTGTGTATAAGTTACATTAGAGTGTATTATGACTTTAATATACTGCCTTTATTAAAAAGAAAAAACCTAATCAGGACTGTCTCCAGAAAATTAGGCCATATAGTTCCCACATATATACTGAAAGAACAGGAAGAGGATGGCATTGACCACTGAATGAATTATTCCCAACTTTCATTATGACAACATCTCAACAAATGTACTACAATGAGATCAGTACATTATTCTTTACTTTTAATGTAAACACCAACGTTGGTCACCCATCAACATCATACAAGGGCACATTTCACAGGTTTCATAATCAGATTTTTATTTTTTATTTATTTATTTATTTTTGTTTTCTTGAGTCAGAGTCTCAGGCGAGCCTTCTGCGACAGCTTCCCACATAGCTGGGACTACAGGAGCATGCTACCATGCCCAGCTAATTTTTTTATTTTTTGTAGAGACAAGGTCTCGCTATGTTGCCTATGCTGGTCTTGAACTCCGGGACCAAGCAGTCCTCTTATCTCGGCTTCCCAAAGTGCAGGGATTACACGAGTGAGCCACTGCACCTGGCCCTTAATCAAATGTTTAAATAATTACACGTAATAAAAACAAATCACAATAATAAAAACAAAACCTAGAAAACACAAGTATACTGCAGAAAATATAAAAATGTGATTTATTTATCTTATTTATCAAATGGTTAGCTACAAGGATACAATTTTTGCCATGGAGTTTAAGGTCATTTCATTTTTTGCCACAGTTACTTTTTCTGTTCATAGGCTAGAATCACAATCTTCTGTGTTTATCCATATTGAATTGATTGTTTACGTTTCACATGTTCGTTCACTTGAAAGTCATATTTTTTTCCTCACGATCACTGAAGCTCTGTAATAGAAAACATCATTGTCTTCATATATTTGAATAGTATCGATCACGGTTTTGAAAGTCTCTATGAGCGTATCTCGCATAAGTCTTGTTATGTGGGATCCTTCCGAAAGGTTCATGGTCATTGAAACAAGATTCAAAAACTTCATCAACTGCCCTTTTAGCTACTTCTTTGCTGATGTTCCTAACAGCCAGGATAGAAAGAATGGCTCTGTCTCGCACACAAGTCTAAAAAGAAGGAAAAGTACATGGCTTTAACTGTATATGAAAATTTAATCATGAAATAATACAGTTTAAATAATGTCTGAACCACAATTAAAATTAATTTCCTCTCATTATTTTACTAATTTCTGTCATTCCAAAGAAGAAAACAAAATTAACAAAGAAACATAACTTTTTTTTTTTTTTTGAGTTGGAGTCTTACTCTGTCACCTAGGCTGGAGTACAGTAGCACTCTCACAGCCACCGTAGCCTCAACCTGCTGGGCTCAGGACATCCTTCCACCTTCAGCCTTCCAAGTAGCTGGAACTACAGGCATGTGCCAGCAGGCCCAGCTAATTTTGTGATTTACTGTAGAGATGGGGTCTCACCAAGTTGCCCAGGTTGGTCTCAAACCCCTGGGCTCAGGCAATCCTCTCACCTCCACCTCCCAAAGTGCTGGGATTACAGGCATGAGCCACCATGTCCAGCAGAAATATAACTCTTAAATTGTGGAGCATGTTTAACTCAATCTAAAATTATTTAGACATAAGTAAGACCTCCATTTTCTCATGTTTTCCAATAATGTGAGCAGATGTCATTCTCTGAAGTTCTAGGCAGTGTCTGTCAAACAATATCTCCCTTTGTGCAAACTCACAAAAAAAGTCTACAAGCAAGGTTATGTTTGACTTTTTTCACAAGATTTCATTAAATTTGAAATATATTTCACTCTGTCCCTCTCTTCCCTAACTTTTCAGGTGACCAATGTTGGATAACCTTTCGAGAAGAGTACTCTCGAAAGTACCCTTTTACAAGAGAAAAAACAGCCAGGCTCGGTGGCTCAGCCTGTAATCCCGCACTTTGGGAGGCTGAGGTAAGAGGATTGCCTGAGCCCGCGGGTTCGAGACCTCATCTCTACAATAAATCAAAAATTAGCC